TTTCCTTAATGTATGTAGGATTGTTGTCACTAAAACTGTCAATTCAGCAACAAAAACATAATATAGGATGATTAAATTTTCATTTCTGTGTTATCGGTGCAGATGAATCATTTTCTTGTTATATGCTTTAAATAGTGAAAAGAAAGAAAATTATGATACTGGCAGGATCTGTGTAAAAATATACAAGCAAGAGCTGTAATTTTACAAAAGAGACGAAAAATTTAATTAGTGTTGGAATGCTCTATGCAGTTATTGAGTTAAAACAAGGGAAAACTTGAATTAACTTACAGTTCTTTCAGGTTTTTTAGATCTTGGAATAAATCAGGAGGCAATTCAGGGAAGTTGTTGTCTTGCAACCATCTGTGTTGAAATTTGAAAAGAAGATGATCTGTATGCAAAATCCATTTAGTTTTCTTCAAACAGTTACTTACCGCCTTGTCTTATGATCACTTAGAGGAAGGGAAGAAAAGAGAAAAGAAAAAAAAACAAGTATAGACAAGGCCGTAGGAAAGGGGTATGCTGCTGCGTTATACAAGAAGTTTTTCCTTGATAGCTGTATAATTTGATTCAAGACAAAGAAAATAACCACATATTACCTCTGACGATACAATACAACGTAATAGTGTAAATTCCATTTCAGCTACTAGGATTATCGTTAAATTTACTTTATCGTATATTATTTTCTCAAAGCCTTCCTAATGCCATCTTGTGATCTGTTAGTCTCAGCAAATAATCATAATATCAGAGAGAAATAATTTTTTGTTTTTCAAGTTAAAAGTGGTACCCAAACAGGTCACGTAATAGTGAGTGAGTGAGTTTTAAACTATAAAGTCAAATATTTTTTGATGTCCCTAATAGAAGAAAAATCTACTCACAGCAAATCCAATTTTGTGTTAGTCGCAAAAACGTCAGATGGAAAATTCTTCAACGGGTTATTAGACAAGTCTCTAAAAGATTAAAAAACAAAAATTATTAGAAGTGCAACTAGAAACTTGTTAATACTGGCCTTTTTTAAGCTGTAAATTTGGGATTGTCAAGTAAAACATCAATATGGATAAAGGATTTGTCATATTCAAACCATATTCAATAAATGAATTAATAGAGGAATACATAAATGAATGTTTATCCTATTAAACGCCTCCTTTACATGTCAAAATGTGTCACTTAATTTACATGAAAGACCTACACTTTACATTTACCCACGATTAATCCCTCAGGAATTACAAGATTATGATTATAAATATAGATAGTGACCCTGATTCTACAAAATAAAACATCGTACCTCTGCCTATTCTAAAAGATTAAAGATTAAGTAATAATACAGATTGACATGGATTTCATGCTACAAATACAATAAAAGGAAAATTGATCGCAAAATTGTGGCAGTTTATTATACTGAATGATTGACAGTTAAACCTCTGTCCGCGATGACGCTTGTCGCAAGTGGCGAGGTAAGCTATTTTACAACACTGCACTACTGCAGTAGAGTTTCACTTGATTCTGTGTGGAGAAGTGTAATTATGATCTAACTCTCGGTATTTCTCAGATTGTATAGAGTAATTTTTTTTTTCTTTCAGTGAAATTGGATCTTGAATATTCTTTAGGCTAGCTTTGTCCTCTTTCAGTTTTTTTGTGTAGTAGCATTGTATGATGTCAATTTGCTTTCCGTCTTCGCCAGCTTAAGTTCGAGAAACCCCTGATTATCTCTCCATCTAGATGAATTGGTTGGTGATCAGTTGACTCTTGATGAAATTGATTCCGACCCAATTTCTTGAACCTAGAATAATTTCGCTTTCGACGAACCTGTCGTTTGCCCGGTACCACGCACAGATTTCTGGCGGTCCTCGTTCACACTTTTAGATACCACTTAAGCGTCGTCAACTGTCTTTTGTACTTATTGAAGTTCAGTAGACTTGTTGCGTACAGAATCTAAGAATGATTTCTTGAAATCAGCATTTGAACGGCCTTGAAATTGTAGCACTTTAATGATAAAAATTCACCACGAACATCTCTGCCAATATTCAGACGCCTCATAAAAATATAAGTAGACTGTCACTGTCTAAGGGCCATTTTCGTTGTTTGTTTTTGGCATAAATAACGTTTACCTTGTAGTATTAAAACTTGCAACCTGCATTCAAAAGCGATAATCATATCCTCTGGATCAAGTGTACAGTGAACAACACTCCTAGAGAGCCTAATTGAGAGACTCGAATAAATGATATCGTGCCTTGCTGTCCCTCCTCTTCTTGTCCCTTTAGGCCTCGTACATTCATCAAAAATAAGCACCTTTCATGGGCTTTACTTCGTACGCTAAGTAATACAGGTCTCACCGGTGAGTACTTTTGACCTTCAAAGCTTTTAAAACAGTTGCATTGTGACAACTTTGACGCAACAAGGTGGTTACTTAAAATTTGACCAGGCTTTGCTTGATTTGTCACATAGTGGGTAGAGACTTTGTAATGTTGCTTCATTTATCATACATATGCACTGCGGTGAAGAAACGAGCTGCGAGGATCTCTTATATAGCTATATCTTATGTACCTCTATATAGCCGAGAGGATCTTTTATGTTCAGAACTCATCCTTGTCAGCAGATTCAAATAAACTCTAAGTTTACGGAAATAGAACATTCCTATTTCGTAGCTGATTTCATTTGGAGCCAAGACATCGCTGCTCGTATCTGCTTGTATTTTTACCAATGCGCAATGGATTTATGACGCCTTCCTTACACAAATAAGACTAACTCCATACTTACAGCGCTCTCAGTTGGGTGTTATCACTGAAAATGCCTGATGGCAATTTCTTCAACTGGTTGTTGTCCAACGTCCTACCAAAAGTAATAGAAAGGGGTGTTGATTAATTTGTGAAGAAACTATGTATTCTGGAAATTTTTTTTTTTTTTCACGTTCTGATCTGGTAACAAAGTCATATTGTCCACAAAGCAATGTCTTCTTTTCAGTTACAGGTAAGGAGACCTAGGGTAGCATCACGAATTATAATCTGGCTCAAAACTAATTCAGACTTTTTTTTGGTTTTTTTTTGTTTTTTTTTTTGTTAGGAACTGAAAAAACTAAGCGTTTTTCATATGCCTTTCTCCCTCCTCCCGTTGTTGCAATGCAAAAGGCTTGAAATTACATACCGTTATTCAGAAAAGTCTTCATCATAGTCTTCATCATCAGTCCCTTTCTGTTTAAAGTAGCTTGTTTAAAACCCAGAGGTAAATCCCTTGGATTATTGTTGTTTAGACCTCGAACACAAGAAAACAAACCAAGGCGTTGATTAAGTGAAAGCGTCTATTTGTTAATGTCATTATTTGTCAAATCGTTATAGCGTTTTCAGTAACTGAAACAAGACTCTTACTGAGACTCTTACAAACTTTATTTACCTAATTGTAGTTTATAATTTTCATCAACGTGAGGAAAGCCGTGAAGAGTGTGGTGTTTATTGTTAGAAACCAAATTTTGTCAGCAAATTAAGGAAAGGCGGAAAAAGTATGTCTCAGAACAAAAATAATGTATTTTACAATTGAAGAAGGATTGTTGTCGGTCACGGCGGTCTGTTGTAGAAAATGGAGATGGAGAAATCCTTTTCAGTCACTCACAACCAAATATTTGTCACTTCACCTATTTGTCGACCGAACGCCGACAGATCGCAGCACTGTTATTTTTACCGAAACATCTGTGTTAGGGGAAATTGTTTTGTGTTAGGTGTTGATTACACTTTCTTCAGTACTTTCCGGTATTATCTGTTGCGATATAATCCTGCGCGCAGCAAAAAGCATTTGAACGGCATAACATAACATGCTTCATAGGGTTTGAAGATATGCTCGTTTTGTATTCCAAAATGAATTCATGTCACCATTTTAAGGCACTGGAAAGCAAAAATGTTAATAAGTATTAGAGATGTTGCACACTCCAGTGGTTCTAGTAGATCGATATCCTGGATGTCAGGCAATGTTCTCTGGCCTCAAGCGGAACCGAGAGGTGAGTACCTTCGTTATTTTGCTTCGGTTACTTTTCCAAGTTACGTGGAAAATTTACAAAAGAGCTTATTTCTTTTTCTCTGGCCGTAAACGGACCAGAATCAGAAATTCGGTTTGGTTTTTCCTCCGCAGGAAAATAGACAATAGGCGCTACATGGCAGTTTTTAATTGGCGCAAAGCAATGTGGTGGACATAGCCTGTGAACGAGGTTGAGTTTTAGCATCGAATGTATTCAGGCTTAAAGTGTTGGGCCGCGCATAAACGATAACCAAACTTGTTACAGTTCACACTTATCTTTCGAGTAAATTTTAAAATATTAGTTATTTATAGTACAAAGCTAATACTGTGAATCGCTTTAACTGTTAACGTACTAATGAAAAACAACAATTGTGGGAACAGTTAAAGTTTATTGGCTGATTGATTTAATTTGATTAACTAATTCATTCGTCTTACGTAAACATTGGCGATAGGATCGATCAGTAGATTACTTTAGCGGACGAAAAAACCATACTTTTCTGAAAAAAAAAAAGCTTGTGAAAGTAACTGTCACACATCTTTAATTTCAATCAGTCGAAAAACTGGCGGTCCATAAAATGCCTTCTGTGGTATACCATTCCGGGGCAGAAAACTTCAGAGGCTTGTTGTCCGGTGTAAGCGAGAGAAAACCTTGTAAAAAAAAGATACTCGCGTTCATCAATGCTCCATGTAAGCTCTTGGTAGAGCGTCGGCTAATAGCATACCCTTCTCAGGCTTGTAGTGTATCTCATAGTCATACGGCACGAATGACAAAAATCATAATAAACAAACTAAATGTTCGACAACATTTGGACGCCCCTCCCTGTGCAAGTGAAACACTATGAATGTCACTACCAATATTTTTGACTTTCATATCACAAAGATAAAGCAATAGGTAAATTGAGGAGTGTCCCAGTGATTCTTGACCTGACTCTGTTTCGATTTTTTGCATGGAGATCGACGCTGTGTGATGTTTCTTCATTGTTTAGATTTCTTTCTCTGGTTTACTGGAGTTTCTTCTCGACGAGCTATGCCACTGTTTGACCAAAGAA